TTAATAATACAATAAAAATAAATTAAGTAGTATGCATTTTTTTCATTTTAGGGTATTATCTAAAAATATTTCTATAAAGAACATCTACTCTTTAGGAAGATTCTATTAAATTTAAAAATTTTAAGGAAATGTTTGAAAAAGTGTAGTTTGAAATGTCGAAAAAGTAATATTTATTACTTTAAAGGAATATTTTCTTACGTAAAAAATAGTTTTTTTCTGCGTAAAAGGATTTTTTTAACAGAAACAAATAGTTTTTGACGCGTAAGAAATAGTTTTTTACTTGTAACAAATAGTTTTTTATACGCAAAAAATATTTTTTTTTGGGTAAAAGAGTTTTTACGAGAAACATTAAGTTTTTGACGCGTAAAAATTAGTTTTTTACGTATATCAAATAGTTTTATACACGTAAAAAATATTTTTTTTCCGTAACAAAATGTTTTTTACCAGAAACAATAATTTTATGACGCGTAAAAAAATATTTATTTTTAGTTTTTTACACCTAACAAATAGTTCTATACGCGTAAAAAATAGTTTTTTCCGTGTAACAAATAGTTTTTTATACGTAAAAAATAGTTTTATACGTGTAAAAAATAAATTTTTACGTGTAACAAATAGTTTTTTACATAGCAAATAATAATTATTATTTTTACACACACCACTGGCACTAGCAGTAGATTGCGTTTGTCTACGAATATATGCCCCGGCCCGTCCACAATTCAATCCCAGCATCTTTTATCTTTGTCTCTTCAACGCTAACGGCGCCGATCTTGCCTATCTCTTTCTCACAGGATTGATTTTTGGACGGGCCGGGAATCCACCAGCTTGCGACGTTACTAATTGACATCTTGATAGAAACTGCAGACCTGCCGCGTCTTTTGCGTGTTTTTAATGGACACAAATCGAAAAAAGCGCTTAAAAGGGTAAAATCGCAAAAAGCGCTTGAGACGCAAAAAACGCAAAACGCTAAAAACGCTTTCTGTGTGGCCGTGGGCTAAGTCTTTAACGTCTTTTTTTAATTTAATATAGAGTATCCAATGCAGCATAATGTGATATTACGATAATGGTCACCAAAACCATCTCGTCATATTAAAAAATTATAACAAAAGTAATGATAATTGAAAAAATTGCAAATTGATCGTGATCAGTTAATTTTGCTTTTAAAAATTAACCGAAGCGTGTATGGACATGATCCAAAAAACAAAATGCTCAGGAGACAAGGTTCTAACCATAAAATTATATTTTATGAAAAGTTACGCACAAAGTTATTGCACAGGATGTTTTAAAGTTAGGATAAAAAAACAACCCCTCGATTAACCCTGCCCAAGTAGCATCTATCTGACTTCGAACTATATCTAACCTGAAGCGACGTCAGACTTTGTGCAAATTTTGGTCGGGTGTTGGTGATACGACCGGTGATGTCGCTTTCCTATTAAAAGCGACGTCGTTGGATCCGAGTCGGTAAATCCAACGATCTGTCGACGTACAAAATAACAACGTACCATTTTTATTAATTTCCCAACGTCGTTCCCACGTTGGCTTGCACGACGTACATATACTTGAACTAGTCCGACGTCTACCCGTTGTCCGAATAGAATACGTCTCACTGATAATCCCTAAAGTAACGTCCAATTATATTTTGTTGTATTTTATGTTCATATTTATAACCTAATTTACGTATCTCTATTTACGTCCGTAAATATAACCCATTAAGTAGCATTTGCGGCCTAATGAACATCATGAACATAACCTAATAAAAAGTTTTTGTAAACAAACTTAATTTTTTTTTATTATGCCTAAAAAAACACTAAAGAGGCATTTAGACATTCATCTACATTTTACTGAAAGAGGTCGAGGCTTTTGCAAAATAATAATAGTAGTAGTGATATCTTGCCTCCACCCACGAATGTTTTTTTATCCGGAAGAGATGCTGCATTACACTGGTGCATCTTAATTTTATTTTTAAGCTCAGAAAACCAGCAGACCCCATCCTCCTCCCACATGTGAGGTACTGGTTCCAATTCTTTTAAATTTTGTATATCCGAGTATACTATCTTAAAAAAGTGGCTGCCCATATTTTTAAGGAGAAAACAAAAACTAAAATATAGTTGCACAAATCCACAAATCACTGATACGCAAAGTGAGGTTACGTGGCGTACGTTGGAATTATATACGTCATAATATGATTGCCGGTCGTCCGGTTTGATGACTTCGGTCGTGTGAGACGACTAATGTTGGAGACCCGGTTGTGAATTGGTATATTGGTAGTTCATATTAAGTCGGACAGAGAAATCCGCCATTCTTAACAAGTATCCGATTGTCAGCCATTTTAAAATCGTTTTTTGTTTTTAAAATTTATATTCACATTCCGATTTCTAGTAGAATAATATTGATAAGGTTGATTTTGGGGGGAACCACGGTACAGTTTTATGATTAAACCAGCTAGAAAATAAAAAAAATATTTTTCGAGTTACTTTTTTACAGATATTTTTATTTCATAAATCTAATTTTGAAGGCGCTCGTTGTTTTCCGGAGTATTTTAATCAGATATATAAAAAAAGTGACTTCCGTTGACAAAACTGATGTCTGGATTAATGATTCAGAATTATTATAATATGAAATTAAGTAGGCACTTATAGTTATATTCGAGGAGTTATTATGAATCCATTTGTAATTAGGTAGTTTGGTTAGGTTTTTATGTATTCTTGGTAGTGAATATGAAACCAAAAGTAACGTAAGTGCTTAGCGACGAATTTTAAGTGACTAAAATCCAACGTAATATGACGTTGGTAATTGGTAGAGTTATTAGTCCCTATTAGGTCAGATACCGACGTCGAGGCGACCCGAATCTGTATTCCCCATTTAGGTGCAAATAAGGGTCGTCAGGCGGTCGAACCGACGCGACGTTGGTACCCGACGTCGGGTTTATTGAACGCGACGTATACCCGACGTTAGATAACGTCCTAATGTTACTTGGGTATATAATATGCCAATTACTAAAGTTTATAAAAAACTGAGTTTACCAATTAAAGTTGATATAATAACAATATATAATCTTCTATACTTATATACAGCTTGCTAAAAAAATTCATAAAAATTGGGCTAAAAATAACAAAAATATAACACTTTTTTCCGTTGCGTTTTTTTTGCATCTGAGTGTAGTTATAGGTATAATTGATATATTTGTTGCATACTAATTCAAGAAATAGATTAAAAAGAGCCATTTTTAATATATCAAAATATTACAATAGACTTACATACTATATTACATAATATCTTTTTGTGGGCCCTTTGACATTCAACGTACAATGTATAAATACATTTAGCCTTTATGTAGGCAAATACCTCGAAGGATAATACACGTTATATCACAAAGTTAAATTGTTAAAGGTTCGAGTTGAAAAGTAATCAACATTTAAAAGAACAACTTTGTGAAATGTTAAAACATTCCTGTAAATAACAAGTTTATATGTATATTTGTAATTTAAAATTTAGTTTTGTGCTACTTCTGCATTTTGATCTTTTTGTTAAAATTAAATATAAACACCTTGATTTAAATCCTAAAAATGTTATAATAAAAATTATACAGGGTGTTTCAAAACAAATGCGAAAAACTTCAGGGGGTGATTCCTTATTCAAAATAAAGGGTAGTTTGCTTTATAAACGTTGGGTCAAAAGTCAACCATTAGGGAGATATCGCGGTACAAAGATGGCGGAAAAATAAAGTTTTTATTTTTTATCTTGAAAACGAAAAGTGATAAACTAATGAAATTTTAGGGAACCATTACTGTTATGAAAACACACTTTCTGGTAATTTTTTCATTTTTTTAAAATGAGTGGAAGGGGTTGAAATAAACTGCCCCTATCATTCTTGTTAACGAAATTTAAAGAAAAATCTTCTCAAACACATGCAAAAAAATTAATTTTGATAGTTTAGTTTGTTTAGAAACTTTTTTATCTCTTGTATTTTTTTGCTAAAACTCACCGATTTGAAATTAAAAAATAAAATGTAAAGCATTACATGTCAGGACAAAAAACATTTTTAGATTAAGAATCTAGTGATAATAACGATAATAATAATCATCTAGATAATAATGTATTGCAGTAGAGTAATGTCAAATAAAATAATATTAGGAACATCCTAAAAAGTAACAGCGGCCGACAAGATTTTTTCAAGAAAATGTTTTTGTCCTGACATGTAATGCTTTACATTTTATTTTTTAATTTCAAATCGGTGAGTTTTATCAAAAAAATACAAGAGATAAAAAAGTTTGGTCACTTCCTTTTTTACTTTTTTCGATAAAAAATGACATTCTGAGTAGAATGACATATGTCAACTTTTGACATTCTCGCATAATAAAAAATCGTATTTTAAAATTCAATCTAGAGTGCCACGGCTATGTAAAAAACACTAATTCTTAATCAAGGAGCCTTGGAAAAATAGATTTGATCGTCTAATGTTTTTAGTGTCTTGTCCTGGCCAGTTAGAAAATGCTCAAATCGTATTTTTAATCATATCTCAATTTTTTCAAATGGAACGAGGGTGGCTCATTAGCATACTTGAAAAAAGCATTTTTTTACGAATAATATGATACCACACACTTGGTATTGCGAGTCAGCTTTTCGTTACGAACCGCAAGTTAAAATTTCAAATAACCCATATGCGAAAATGTCAAAAGTTGACATATGATGTCATTCTATTCAGAGTGTTATTTTCTATCCAATAAAGTAAAAAAATATTGAGGATGCCATTTAAAAATCAAAAGTTGTAGTCATTTCCGGTGAAACAGGAAGTGACCGAAAACAATTGAATGCGTCAATCAATCCCAATTTATATCAAATACTAATATACCAAATCTCGTTTTTTTAACTGAAAAAATAAAAAAGTTATAGGGGTGAGCCACTTTTGAGACGCACCCGGTATAGCCTATAGAATGTGCATGTATATTTTGAATTTACATTTGTTATTTTATTACCCATCATCCCTAATCCATCTCAAACAGGTTCAGTAGCTAGAACTGGTTGGTTCCGTCCTACCAATTCGCAGAACTTCCTGATGTCACCCTCAAAACGCCACGTGGCCGCTTTGGCAAGGCTCGGCTGGTTGCCTGCCTATCGATCGTCACGACGGTTTAATCGATCTGGTCGATCTTACGTCAAAGAAGAATCTAACGATATTTGCAGGTTCTTGCATAGGAATATGTTTGTTTTTATGTTTCATTCTTTAGCTCAGTTGTTCCCAAGTTTCAAAAAACTCATAAAAGTATATCATAGAAATAAATAGCAAATAATAAAATTAACAGAATAGTTTACATATCTAGCATCAAATCACTAATAAAGAAGACTTTCAGTAAAAATGAGAATTCAATATTGTAAAATAGAGATTTCTGCCTGCCTACAGTTTCTAGAAACTAGGATTAGAAAAAGACTTTTCCACCACTGTGGAAATGGATAAAACGTTTATATAAACTGCTAGAACCAGATTTCAGTCACTAAAATATAAAGAAACCACGGAAACCATAGAATAAACTCTAGGAACGATATATAATAAATAATATACAGGGTGAGTTTCCTACGATGTTCTCTATGGGTATCTCGGAAACTACTGGAGATAAGAAGTCGGTTAAATGGGGAAAGAATTGCAGTTTTATGGGGTCATAAATATGCGCCTTTCAGATTTTTGAAAAAGTTCATGGCTTACTAGATATTTCGAAAAAATCAAATTTCGGTTATTTTAAAAATTGTCCCTAATTCCATTATAAGCTATTTTAGACAAAAAGTTTTCAGATAAAAGTTGTAGATAATCACATCCTTAATGAGACTGTGCTCTCCGTTTTTTTCTAAAGCCTGTCATTTCTGACAAACATAGTTTTTTTTAAATGGAAACCATAGTTGGCCATGACTTCATAAAAAGCGCCATTTTTTAAGCTTTTTAGTGATATAAGCTATATCTTTTCTTCGAAAAATTACTGAGTTATAGCCAATTCTTATAATTTTAGACAATTTCACTTAGGTAGCCATGGAAACAAGTTCAATCGCCATTGCTCTCAGAAATGTGAAGCTGTCACACTCCGCCAAACTTTGCAAATTAAAATAAACGAAAATTGTAAATATGAATTTTTAAAATGAAGAAAAGCGTGTAGATACTCGCGCATCAATAGAGTGGTTCCAACATGACTTTCATTATGACACACTACCTCCCACCCCCCATAATGAAATAAATGTTAAAAATTATTTATGTATATCATAATTATACAAACGCAGGGATAGAGAGAGGTGGACTAATTGCATGGGCCTCCTCGATCACCTGACCTATCCATTTTAGAATTTTTTATGCGGTATAGTTAACAATAAGGTTTACAAAGGAACTTATGAATTAAGAGAGGCACTCGAAGTGGCGGTACGAGAGAAGTTTGATTAAGTTTGACCGGTCCTTCTGTGAGAATAGGTAATAATTCAGTTTTAAAAACATGCAACTCAAAACAATGGCGGATTTTTTGAACACTTTTTAAAATAACTTAAAGTGTATGTAGTGATATTATTTTTTTAAGTTTTAGTTTGTGTAATATAAATTGTAAAGAAGCGTTATATTCTGACTTTTTATAAGTTATAAATCATAACAAAATAAGAATACCATGCAATCTAAGTGAAATTAGCCAAGAAAGATAAGAATTGGCTATAACTAAATTTAACTTTTCTAATATGTCTTGAAAGCCGTTCTCTAAAAAACGTAACATTTACCGGTCAACGTATCCTCGAAAATGTATGGTCAAGAAAAGTTGAACCAATAATTCTACACGCTTTTCTTCATTTGAAAAATTCATATTTACAATTTGTATTTATTTCAATTTGTAAAGTTTGGATGTGACAGCTTCACATTTATGAGATCACAGACGATTAAACTTGTTTCCATGACTAAGTGAAATTGTTTAAAAATGAGAAGAATTGGCTATAACTCAGTAATTTTTCGAAGAAAACATATTATAACTTATATCGCTGAAAAGCTTAAAAATGGCGCTTTTTATGAAGCCATGACCAACTATGGGTTCCATTTAAAAAAAGCTATGTTTGTGTCATATGTCAAAAATGACAGGCTTTAGAAAAAAGCGGAGGATACACTCTCATTAAGAATGTGATTATCTACAACTTTTATCTGAAAACTTTTTGTCTAAAATAGCTTATAATGGAATTAAAGACAATTTTTAAAATAGCCGAAATTTGTTTTTTTCAAAATATCTAGTAAGCCATGAACTTTTTCAAAAATCTGAAAGGCGCATATTTATGACACCACAAAACTGCAATTCTTTCCCCATGTAACCGACTCTCTATCTCCAGTAGTTCCCGAGATACCCATAGAGAACATCGTAGGAAACTCACCCTGTAGATAATAAACAAAATATACAGGGTGTCCCAGAAATAAGTGCAAATATTTTACCTGGTAGTATAATTCAACCCCAGAAACACGCCTATGAAGTTTTTTTCGCGAAAAAAAAAATTTGAAAATTCGATATTTTTTGAAAATTTTTTTGGATTTTTTTTTAGTTTTTAGTTAATAAACATGATTTCTTGATAATATGGTAACATAGGTACTAGATTAAATTTATAAGAAAGAAAATCCAGAAAAGATTCAGTGGTTCTCAAAATTTTAGCAAAAAATCATTTTTTTTGGAAATTTTCAAAGTAAAATAACTGCGTTATTTTGGACTTATTTGAAAAACGATAAAGAGAAAATATGTTTCTTTTATCGAGATCTACCACTCTTTAAAATATTTGCATTTTTTTCTGGGGCACCCTGTATAATCTGTAATACAATTAATTATACAGAGTGAGTTTCAAATATGTGCAAATATTTTCAGGGTTGGTAGATCTCGGTAAAAGAAACATATCTTCTCTTTACAGTTTTTCAAATATGTCCAAAATAACCGAGTTATTTTACTTTGAAAATAAAACAATATTTTTTGATTAAATTTTGAGAATCACTGGGTCTTTTCTGGGATTTCTTTCTTGTAAATTTAGTCCACTACCTGTATTGTCATATTAATAAGAAATTATGGTTTTTTAACTAAAACCTAAAATAATCCAAAATTTTTTTAAAAAAATTCCAAATTTCTAAAAAGAAATTTTCGCGAAAAAACCTTATAGACGTGTTTTTGGAGTCGAAATATACTACCCCTAAAATATTGGCACTTATTTAAGACTCACCCTGTATAAACTAAACTGGCGTTCAACAAAGATCAACTTCTCGAGAAAAAATTCAAAAAATAAGTAACTTTGTATCTTGTACTCTTTCTTAGCAATCTGACAACTTATGTATATTTATAGCAAAAGAAAAAATATAAAAATAATTCAATACAATGAAAATATTCATATAATACGTTCAGTTTTATAAAGCTTAGTAATTTATTTGTGGAAACAGAAGCTTTATTTTTGAAAAGGGTCAGATAAATAGGTTTTTCTAAATATAGAATACGCTTATTTTAACAATTTGCTCTTTTTGGTTGTTTATTGAATTCAAGCTATCATCAGCTGTTCAATGAAATGAATCGAATGAATGAAATTTCTTTTAATGATTTCATTTCTTACATAATGTTAAAATATATGAGACGCATTTTCTCATTTAATATTGTTTATTACCATCTCTATAACATAAAATAAATAGGTTTATTGTTTAAATTGTGTTCAACAAAACCAAGAAATTTTTGTAACTCGATACTTTTTAAAGGAAGAGGAAAAGATAAAAGCAAAAATAGACCAACTTTGTAACTTGTATTCTTAACAATCCGCCAATTTAAAATTATTGCTCAAATATTTTAACGATGGACCATTACGTTCGCCTTGAACTTTCCAATTGCTAAGAAATTTGTTATTCTAAGCTACAAAAAGACTTTTAGCGATCGTTTAAAGAAAAGAACCAAGAAGAGCCACGCTGAATACCAGTCACGCCGATTACGTTTAAATGCTCTGTGGAGGCGTATTTAGCAATGTCCTTATTTTGTATTCAGAGTGGAGGTAATATTTTTGTAGTTAGTTTTCTTTGTTTGTTGTACGTAGTTTTAAAAAATAATAAAAATAATAGTAAAGAAATAAAAAATCAATATATACTACACAACAAAAATTTAAATAATTTATTTGATGAATATAAACAAGTTACATTTTGCATAAAAGTATTTTGAGACATCAAAATTAATTCACAGCTAGAATATATAAAATAGACTAGACTAAAATAGACTTAGTTAATTTATTTTAATTGAACTATTAACTAACTTTAGAAGTCGAAGTGGAAACTGGTGTTAATACTTTTTATACTCAAAATAGATGAAAATTTAGCTATGCTCTTATTTTACAATCGAAATAATTTTTTTATATTCATCACTATTGTATTTAAAAAAACAGTAAAAAGGCAAATATTTTTTTAAGTCTATTTAAAAAACAAAACAATAAAGGCTAATTTCAAAAAGAAATAAAATTAAGATAGTTAAAGCATTTAGGGTGTTTTAATAAATATAATATATAATAAACAAAAACTAATGTATAAAAAATTATAACCTAGGTTAGTATTTCGAATGATTTGAAAATTTGGGAACTACTGATTTAAACAGTAGATATTTGTTAAATGTTTTACTGTTCTAGTAGAATTTGTTATTTTGGCGGTAGTATAACAATCTATATGTTGTTTTCTTATAAGTTTTAACAAAAAATAATATAGTACACTTTTTTATACTGTACCCAGTATCTGCGCTTTATTCATTTTTATCAAGCATAAAAAGGGCCTGGTAACGTAACAACGACGTCGAATGAATGAAATGCTCACTGGGTATAAACAGCATAATTTTTTAAATTTTAGTTTTAATCAAGTTGAAAAGCATGATTATGTTTAAATGTTATATGTTTAAAACTTTATGTTTATGGTAACTATTTAAGGGTTTCTAATAATTTCAATAAAATGTTGATATAAATGTTATGTTACAAAAGTTTGACTCTCAACATAAAATATTAAACTTGTAGCAACCAAAATTTAGTCGACAAAAATATGGCTTTAAAAATCTATTTTGCTGAACAATTACTGATTAAAAAGTGTCTTATTGCTACAATTATTCCGATCTTTCTAAATACCATCCCAAAAAATTGGCTATCGTGCAAGTTGTTAAAAAACTCTTACCCTATTTTATATTCCTTATTGTTAT